AACACAATATGAACAGTTTGTGAACAATAGTTCCTTCATTATGAACACATTCAGAAGCAAGCCAATGTTGAGATATGCAGCTAGTGTACATATGAACACAATATGAACACTTGTGAACAATTCTTTAACAATTACATATGAATTCGAATTCCGATTTTAGTCGTAAACGATTTTAACCTTTTCATTTTCATTGTTGTCGATCTGTTTTCCAATAAATTTATCCATATTACTCGGACGATATCGAAATCTTTACAATCGAAAATTCTTTAACAATTACAAAATCAATATCATTATGAATAGAATAAATCGAAATTACAAAACAGGAACACGTATAAAAAAATATCAATATTACATAATCATCAATTATTGAGATTTTTAGATTTGTAACTTCCAATTAATGATTTGGGAGTTACATAAATGACAAATTATTTAATTACTCTTGTCATTAATATATGAGTTATATGTGAACCTAAAGAAAAGATGGAATATGATTGGTTGAGTTTGGTTAGCAAAGGTAACACAAAAAACTTGATTAGTATTTGAACCAACCCCTATATATATATATATATATATATATAGGTGAATTATTATGCAACTCTTTACATTTGTACAACCAATACAATTCAATCTCAACCGTTCATTTAATTTAATAAATATGTGATTTCATAAATTTTTTGATTATTTCCTGATATAAAGTATTAATCATAATTAATGAACTTTAATCATCTTCTATAAATATTAAAATCATAATAAATAAACTCTTATTATTTACATAAATATCTCAATTAATGATGTTGCATTGGTGTACAAATTGACATAGTTATATTTGAAATATACTCTATATATATATATATATATATATATATACTAGTCCAATTATGTTATTAAAAAATCATAAAAAATCATTTGTTGATATTTAATACCGATTCCAAAATTGAATTGAATTATGCGAGCTAAAAAGAAATTTCAATCCTTTAAGAATTTCATTCCAAATCTATGCAACCAAACGCAATCACAAGCCATGGTCAAACTCCATCAAATTTCATTTCATTCCTTTAAAGTCAAATTCATTTGATGAATTGCAATTTCATCGAATTTCATTATACAAACCAAATGCTCCCTAAGTTTCTGCTCTTTCTTAAATTTATCTTTTGTTTGATTTCTATCTATTTTTGAATTTTAAGTTATATCAACATAACAATAACATAATAAACGTATATTTCCGTTATCTTTGTAGGTTGAACCTCGTACTGTTTATAACAATAATATTCTTAGTGTTAATGGATTACTTTATTCGGTCTTTTCGAAGGGGCATTCAAACTTGAATTCGTGAGCAACTGCACGAACATTGTGAAAAGGGGAAAGGGCGGCTGTCCGTGCCAAAGGAGGTGATGAAAAGACCTTCTCTCTGGCCCCCACACAAAGCCTTCGATGACTTATCGGCTGCCTTGCTTGAGGAAGAGTTTCACTAAAATGGAGACGAACCGGGTATGGAGCCGCGTCGTTCGTTGGCGTGCTCTTGAGGGGCTCACTACTTCCCTCAAAAGCGAGCAAGCAAAACACCAGCTCTCGACTTGGTTGGAGATAGGGGTGCTCAAAAACCCGACCAACCCGATCAACCTAACGCTAAATAACTCAATCCGAAACAACCCGATGTCTAATCGAATTATAAAATTGTCAAACCGAAGGTATTGAGTTAATATTGGGTTTACTATTATTTGAACCCAACCCAACCCAACCCGATATTTTTTATTTCTTGGATTTAATATAATTATTAAATTTCTATTAATATAAAAATTAAACAATTACACTATCATATATGCTATTCGTATACACATTTTCAATCCATTCATATCTCAATATAAATATATATGTTCAGTAACTGTGAACATATATATGTAAATTGAGAAAATTAACTGAATGTGATATATGTAAGAAATATGAATAATTTGTATCAAATGATTGATGATGAAAAAGAAATTATGAATAGAGAAATAACATATTCAAAGTTAGAAAAATATTTTAATATACCAAAGTATTAACCCGATCAACCCTGGGTTGCATTTTGAATTGGATTGGGTTGAGTTAAGATTTTTTTAAACCGCAAACATTAGATTTAGTTGTTCAAATGCCTTCAACTCAATAAACTGATTGAAGATGCTGTGATTAATACCTTCTCCAATGAACCCCAACACCACCACGGTCATCCCCCTTCTCCCGTGAACCACGTCACTGGCCCTTTCTCCCCTTCTTCCTTGCTTCACTATGGCCTCCCCAACCCATTCCCTTTTTGACGATAACACATCACAGAGAACCCAAGGCAATTGGCGAAACCAAGCCTTTCGGGCAAAGTCTCCCGTCTCTTATATAATCATTTCCCCAGCCCCGTCGAATCTAGTTTTACCATGGCCTCCTATCACCTGCAACCTTTAGTCGAATCTAGTTTTACCATGGCCTCCTATCACTTGCAACCTTTAGTCGAATCTAGTTTTACCATGGCCTCCTATCACCTGCACCCTTTAGTCGAATCATCAATACATTCGCATTTCCTAGTGTTTTACACTACTGTGTGTGGATGGTGTTTATGTTGTATATACATAAGCAAAACAGGATTGAGGTTTGTATCATGTGTATCTTGGTGTTGTATGTAAAACCGAAAATGTAAACGGGTGAAAGAAGGTGCAGGCCTGGTGGTGTTAACTTTTGTTTCAAGGATGGAACAGGGGAAAAGGGAGCTAGGGCGATGGCCCTAGTTTTAGCAGTGAATGCAGATGTTGCAAGTCATGGCAACCAAGTAGACGACGGAGAGTTTTTGGTTTGTGTTGCCAGAGATAGAAATCGGGGAGGGGATTGATATTTAAGTAATATGTCAAAGGGGTGTAAGAAAAAAGCACCTAAACAACCATTGGAGGCAAGAACCAAATCCCACGATTTTCAAAATTATAGGGACCAAGATTGCTACAAACACAAAAGCACATGCACCAAATTTGTAGTTCTCTCTGTGCATTATAAACAATCGCGTTAAATATCTTCCAAATTTGTAGTTTTTCTGATAAATATTGTAGAATTAAAAAGGTTTGGAGGTTCTTTAATGTTTAATGGTGGAGTAGTCAGAGGGTGAACAGATTGGCTAATCGATTAGCCCTTACAATCACGACCACCGCTACTCCAACACCACCCCATTCTGCAACGTATTCGAATTCCACTCCCTTTAGTATAATTAGAGACCGAATGAACCCTAAAAATGAACTTGTCCATCAACAGATTGAAGAATTAAAACTCAGTGCCAAAACCAAAAACTATAAAGTAGGAAAGCTAATGCAGTTGATTTGGGGATTTCTTCAAATCCAAACAGCCAATTAAACAAATAAAAGTTTAAGTAACAAAACTCTTATTGAAATCCTGTTAATAAGTGGGAAAATAAAATACAAGGACAAAAGATGTTGGGATACCAGAATGCATTAGGGGAATATGGGATCCTGCAATGCCAGAATATGGGTACCATTTCATATGGGCAACGTACAGCACTCAGTTCACTATGAATCAAGTGAATGAGAGACTCTAAATTGTTGCCTTTCTTATCAAATCGAAACAAAAATGGGATAAAGAAGAAAAGGAAAAGAATGCCTCAGAAATTGGATGCGAGTACTAATCAAAGGAAAAACCTTTTCAGATGGTACGGACAATACATCATACATCATCGGCAATTCGATTCCCCTTCGGCTCACTATTCTAAAAAATAAACAGAAGGAGATTAGCCATTGACGAGCAGGCAGGAGGAAAGGAGGTGAAGTTGGACGATGAAATAAGGGGATGGAGATGTTGCATCTTTATAGGCTGATCAGGATCAAACCCTAGTTTTTCACAATTCCAGTGAAATTACCACAACACCCTTCCACGGGATTTTGCCTTTTTATTTCACTAGTTGTCTACCCATGCAAAGGGTTACATCTCAATTCCGAGGGTTACATCTCAATTTCGAGGCTGACAACTCGAACCCATAATCTTACTTCCGGTTGTGCTTTATTCTCTATTCCACTCGATTTTATTTTATGTTTTAATTATATGGTTTTTAATTTTGAGTTAATTGGTATATAAATTCAAGGTTATTATGATTGACCGACTATATATTTGGAAAGAGAATTGTGAGAACTTCTATTTTGATTTGCAAATTGAGCCTCCAACCGTTTATGTTGTATCCTTCCATTTCTCATCTCCAACTTTCTAATTATGTTCTTTTACTTGTTATTGGTTGTCTCCGAGTTTTCTGATGTGATTTAATCGAGTTTTAAAGAACCCAAAGGCTACCATTTAAGACGGTTTTGACCTTCATTTAATGGTCTTAATAGGGTTGTTTTTCTTCAATTGATGCATAAAAGCGATGGCATTTTATATAAAACAATCATTCGACCGATTTTTCTATAAAAAGGTATCGAAACCGAGTTGTTTTGGGGTAGTTTCAAAATCGGATCAGAAAAATGGTTTTGGGTCTTAGGCGCTTGTGGAAATTATATATAAATGAGTAAGAGATCCACTTACAATTGCAAAATCTATCTACTTTATTCTGCCATTTTTATTTTTCTTGTTGTTGGACTTATGCATCCAATCGATTTCATGGGCATTGCTTGCCTACTCATATCAATTCTTCAAGATTATACCATGTTTACTTGTATGTATACAATGGTTGTGAACCTTTCTAGGTCTTATATCTCCATATATATCTCTATACATCATGGACATAGGACCCTCAAAATGAAGAGAATGAACTAAATGAACGTTATTGAAAATCTTTGAATTTATTTGGTTTCAATGGATGATATTTAGATCCAAAACTAATTGCAAGTCGTAGTATCTAAAACACAAAACGTAATCAAGATGAAATACATATTTATGACTTTGTAACTCAAAAGCTGTAACATGACAAGTAGTTTCTTAAAACTATGTGTTGGGTCACCTATTGATTTGGTGATGACCCACTGAGGGTGTTGATAGTCAATATCATAAGCTAGATCTGCAATGGTCTCTTCTTCTTCCAACTCTGCTTCTTCTTTTTACCAAGACAATGGCACTATTTCCAAGCCTCCCAAGTTTAACAAGAACAACTTTTCTATGTGGAAAAGTCGCATGACACTCTACCTTGAGGGTGTTGATAGTCAATATCTCTCTATCCTCAAGGATGGACCCATTATCCCTAAAGTATGGCTTCGTCATGGAAAGAACAAAGACGAAGGTAATTCTTCAAATGATTCTGATGATGATGAAGAGAAATCTGATTCTACTGGAAGATTCATCATCAAAGATCCTTCTCAATACAATGAAGATGACAAAAGAAAAGTTTCCTTGGATATCAAGGTAAGGGCTATCATTGCCCTCTCTCTTTCTGATGATGTCTTCCACTCCTTGGTAAACCTCTCTACTGCCAAGGACATGTGGAACACTCTATGTGTTTTGTATGAAGGAACCATCAAAGTAAAGAAAAACAAGAAGATTGGTCTCGTTAGGCAATATGAGCTCTTTGTGCATGGGAAAGGTGAATCTCTCACTGAGTACTACAACAGGTTTAACAGCCTTCGCAATGATCTGAAGTTTCATGGCAGAGTCTATGAAAATGAAGAAGTCCTGTGCAAGTTCATGGACTGTGTACCAGACTTCTGGGAGAACATCTGCACTTGTATCAAGACAAGTAAAGATCTTGAAAATATGCCTTTTACTGCTCTTTATGGAACTCTCCATAATTATGAGCAAACCAAGCTTCTGAAAAAGGCATTATTAAAGGATCCCAAAACTTCTTCTCATGTTGCCCTTCTCTGCAATGATACGAGGAAGCCAATCAGTGAACCTCGTATCACTTATCTGACTAAGTCTGAAGAAGATGCTGTCAGAAAAGAAGAAGATGCTGTCAGAAAAGAAGAACTTGCTGAATGCCATGCTGATGATGCTGATGATGAGGGTGATGAACCCTCAGTTAATGACTTAGCTGACAACATGGCCACGATGGCTACCAACTTCAAAAGGTATGCCAAAAAGGGTTCTTCTAACTTCTCTCCCAGATCTAAGGTCACCGACCGTAGAACCTTAGATCAACCTAAGTCAGCTCCTCTTGATCTGTCCAATGAGAAGTGCTTCAATTGTGGCAAGAAAGGTCACTTTGTTGCTGAGTGCAAAAGCAAATGGATCTCTAAACGTCATCCTTCTAATCCCTCTAGCCGATCTTCTCACGATAAGTACAAAGTAAAGTACAAGAGAGAAAAGGCAAAGAACCAGAGTCTTCAGAGAAAAGGTAAGGGTCTCATTACTGAGACTCATGACTGGATTGATGAGTCAACCTCTTCCTCTAGTGATGAGGACATGGCACATCTATGTCTTATGGCCAAAATCCAGGAGATAGAAGACTCTGTCAAGGGATCCTCCTCTACTCTCGCTGTTGATGCACCTTCTACCTCCAAGGATGCGAAAGATCTAGTCAAACCAAAGAAGGTAAACAACTTCTCTTCTATCTCTGAATCTGAAAAGGTTCAAGCTTATGATTCTTTATCTGTTGATCGTTACAATGCTAGATCTGCTAAGAAGAAATCTGACCTTGAAATCAAAAGTCTAACTAGTCAGTTACATAAATGTATGAATCAACTGAAAGACTTTGATAAGTTGAAAAATGACCTGAAAGAACAAAAGTTAATAAACAATGTTCTTAACAAAGAAAAAACTAAGGTCTTTGAGAAGCTGGAGAAAGAAAAAGCCATTCTTCAAAAATTGGGCTAGATCATCCAAGAACATATCAACTTCCTAGTGAAGTAAAGACTGGCCTAGGTCATGATGATTTAGATCTGTGTGCTCCTGATGACTCTATGTGCATTTCTTCTCACATTCTTTCTTCCTCCTCTTCATCTCACTTATCTGATTCTGTTGGATCTCTTTTTCCAAGATCTACTGATAATGGAAAATCTCTTAAGTTCGGAATTTTTGTCAAAGCTAACAATCCAAACTCTGAATCTGAGAATGTTCCTGTCGACTGTGTGTGTAATTCTCTCTCTCTTAAGGAATCTCCTGAAGCATGCTCATCTAAATCTAAAACATCTGAGCATCTGAAGCATCATTTGAATCGTCGTTTCTCTGTTGCTGAGAAAGGCAAGTCTGTGGACAAGCCTATCAAGAATAAAAAGCCAAAATCCAAACTGAAGATGAAACATAAGCCTTCGTCCACCTCATCTCAGTTAACTGTTGCTTCTCAGACTGGTACCTCAGTACCTTCTATTACTGAGTTCGTTCATAGACCAGTTTCCTTGAAAAAGACTTCCAATATTTCTACCTCCTCTAAGAAACCTATCCCTGAGTCTGAAAAAAGGGATTCTTGGTCCAAAACCCTCTTCATCCTCTGTCCCTCTTCCCAAAGCTTCTTTCTCTCTCAAAAAATCCAAAAAGCATGTCAACACAGTTAAACACACACCTTTAATTTCTATTAAACCTGTGTTTATTTATCGAAAATGTTATAATTGTGGTGACACTTTTCATATGGCCATGAACTGTCCCAAAGAAAGAATCTCTAGGCCAGTAAGAGAAGAGAAAGAAGAAGATACTCCTAACCCCAATGGACCTATTGTAAAATAGGTACCAAAAAACTGATTTATCTGTGTTTGCAGGGCTTAGGACACCGACAKATATGGTACTTGGACAGTGGATGTTCAAGACACATGACTGGAAACAAGTCTCTGTTGATCAACTATGTGTCTGAACCTGGTCCTTTTGTAACCTTTGGAGATAATGCTAGAGGTATTTCTAAAGGATATGGTGTTCTTTCTAACGGCTCGGTTACCTTCAACCGAGTAGCTTATGTGGATGGACTGAAGCACAATCTGTTAAGCATCAGTCAACTATATGATCTTAACTTTATTGTAAAATTTGAAAAAAACCAGTGCACCATTCTTGATTCTTCTGGCAAGAAGGTACTAACTGGTATCCGAAAGGATAATGTCTATGTGATCAACATGGACTCTTCTAGCTCTTCCGACGCCAACATCTGTTTCTACTCCGAGGCTACTGCTGATCAAAATTGGCTATGGCATAAAAGGTTGTCCCATCTCAACTTCAAAACCATCAATAATCTTTCTAGCAAAGATCTGGTTATTGGACTTCCAAAGATGTCATATGTCAAAGTGAAGTTGTGTGTTGCTTGTGAAAAAGGCAAGCAAACCAAAGCAAGTTTCAAGTCCAAGATGTGCTCTTCTATTTCCACTCCTTTGCACATGCTCCACATGGATCTCTGTGGTCCTGTGAGTGTTCAAAGTCTGGGTGGAAAACGTTATACTCTTGTTATTGTGGACGAGTACTCAAGATATACTTGGGTCTTCTTTTTTCAACACAAGAGTGATGCAACTGAAGAAATTATCAACTTTGTGAAGTGGACTGAAGTCTTGAATGGTCAACTTGTCAGATCAATTCGAAGTGACAACGGCACTGAATTCAAAAACAGTGTTCTTGAAAGCTTCTTTGATGACAGGGGTATTTCTCAAAATTTCTCAGCAGTTCGRACTCCACAKCATAATGGAGTTGTTGAAAGGAGAAATCGTACACTATGTGAAGCTGCACGTTCAATGCTAAGTGAAGCAAGTCTTCCGAACTACTTTTGGGCTGAAGCTGTCAATACAGCTTGTTTTACTCAAAATAGGTCTATAATTGTGAAAAGACACAATAAGACTGCTTATGAAGTAT